CAGTACTCATGAGGTGAATTGAAAAATGTTATTTCTTGTGTTTATCATTTTAATAATCCAAATATTTGTAATTAAAAAATAAAGTGAGCACTGAACTCTTTGTATTCTGTGTTGTAATTGAAAATGTAGAAAAACATCCAAAAATCTAATATATATTTGAGAGAGTTTTTTTGTGAGTGAGTGAGTCTGTATGTGTGTCTGTCCATCCATTTGTTCAAAAACTCCTCCTAAATGGTAAGAGCTAGGACCATGAAATTCAGTATACAGCTTCCTCTTATCATAACTTAAAACAAGGTAAGGGCTTGATTGTGCGGGGGGACGTGAGATGACGTACTCCCCCACACCCACCCACAATGAAAGGAGCTGACTGCCCCCCATCTCCCACTGGGACTGCCTTGAGCCTCCCAATCTCTAGGGATTCTTTAGGGAGGGTGGGGTGGAGCTGCAGCTCCTCCCCCGACTTGTACAGGAACATTACTGGCTGTTCCCCTTCATCAGAGAGCAAGGGGGAAGTGCACAGTTTGCTCCATTCCTCAATCTGGCTGGGGAGCATTGGGGAGCAGATGAATCTGGACTTGCCCCAGCCAGGCAACATGCACTCCTCTCCCAGCTGTGCCTGCTGGAGCTGCAGTGAGCAGGAGAGGTGCTTCTCACCTGGCTCAAGCTACAGTGAGAGAGGGCTGGGGTACCCCTGAGCAATGCTGGATAAATCTTCTAGTATTTAATAAATTTCAGTTAGTGTTCTATTGCTTAGCAATGCAATTAAAGCTGTGATGATTAATCACAATTTTTTAAATTGTGATTAATTTTTTTTCATTAATTGCATGAATGAACTGTGATTCATCAACAGTCCTGGTCATTTTGTAAGGTTTGCAAACTTTACCACCTCACTGTTCATCTCTTTTGCCAGATCATTTATCAGTCTGTTGAACAGCTCTGGTCCCAGTCCAGATCAACTGCAATATACCTCTTTCCCCTGAAAAACCTGACCATGTCTAACCTATCATATCAAACCAGCTCTGCTAGCTAGCAGACCACACCCTTTTGTGACCAACATTCTGTATTCTGAACCATGCATTTGTTCCAAAATTGCAAGCACGCTGAGTGCTGGGCTTTGATAAACCCCAGTCTGAAACTCTGGAGGTAACGGTCAGACAAACCAATGCGTGCCATTCCTACAGATCACACAGGACTTGTTTGCTGCCACGATCAATCTTCCGGAGTTCAATTTAGTGAGTCTAGTTAAGACTCGCTAAATTGAATTCAGAGAGCGCCCCACCAGCATTTGCTCCCATCAGCCTCCCGCTGTGTGGACGCCGTCAAGCTCAGCTTAAGGTAAGCTGACTCCACCTATGTATTCCACGTAGCTGGAGTTGCATTGCTTAAATTGAGCTGCCAGGTGGGGCAAAAGATCTATCTGGTTTCAAGATTAAACTAGATGGGTTTATGAAGGGGATGGTTTGATGAGATAACATGATCTTGGTAACTAATTGACCATTCATTATCAGTGGGAAATAGGTCAATGGAGGGATGATAGGAGATACTATAGAGAACTTTCTGGGTGTCTGGCTGTGAGTCTTGCCCACATGCTCAGGGTTTAGCTGATCGCCATATTTGAGGTTGGGAAGGAATTTTCCCTCTAGGGTAGATTGGCAGAGGCCCTGGAGGTTTTTTGCCTTCCTCTGTAGCATGGGGTACAGATCACAGCTGGAGGATTCTCTGCATCTTGGGGTCTTCAAAGTATTTGAAGGCTTCAATATCTGAGATATAGGTGAGAGGATTATTCTAGGAGAGGTGGGTGAGATTTTGTGGCCTGCACTGTGCAGGGGGTCAGACTAGATGATCATAATGGTCCCTTCTGACCTTAAAGTCTATGAGTCTATATTTTAACATCTTCAAACTTGACTTTAAATGGTTGTTAGCTGACACAGTGCTAACTGATCGGTGTAAGCAAAGACTAGTTATGCCCATCATCAGGTTGTCATCATTGAGCTTTGGACAAACTCTACCGGGACCAGGGGTTATCCAAGGAGTAGCTGATGTGGTGATGAACACAATTAGTTCTTGTCTGCAGTGTCAGTGTTGTGTCGCTTAATTCAGGAGTTAAAAATTGTGATTAAATGCAATACAGTTTTCTAGTGAAGACAAGACTGTGCTCCAAAACCAAGGTGCTGCATGAGCTTAAAGAGAATTCTCCATTTTCTGTTAATAGTTTGATTAGAGGACTTGTTCACTTTGTGCTCGTCCCTAACGGTGGAAATATTGGCATAGGATTGATTGTATCCAGCAGAGGGCAGAGTTGACACTTGTCTGTTACCTCCATGTACATTGGTAATGTTTTCAGTAAACTCACTTCCTCTTAGCTTAAATCTGTTTATCTTTTCCTTCCATAAGATTGTTGGCAGCAGAGATTCTTTTGTGCAGGTCCTGGGCTACTAAGGAGGGCTGTGATAACTTTTTTTTATAGTGGTTTGTTTTGAAAAATATTAGGGTGACCAGATGTCCTGATATAAGGGACTTTGTCTTCTATCACTTGTCTTCTATAGGGCACTCCACCCCACTCCAATTAAAAACAAAAAATTAGTGTCCCAATTTTTCACACTTGCTTTCTGGTCACCCTAAACAGAGATGCATATGAAGCCATAGGGCCAAATGTAAATATATTTTAAAGCAGAAATTTCTTCAATATTCTTCAATTTTGTTCATGCAAAAAATTGAATCTATATTCCCCTCCCCCCATTATTATTTAATATACTTGGTGGGAGCACACGGAGATCAACTATGTAGGGACTTCGTTGTGTTGGATTGTGCACAAGCACTTGAAAAATAATAAAGAGCTCTCAAAGAGCTCTCAAGTGGGATCCACATTTGCATTCTTGGGAAGTTCTTTAGATTTTAGGGTAAGGTTTTTCTTCTGTGAAAAAGCTTTTATGTGTGTGTGTGTGTGTGTGTGTGTGTGTGTGTGTGTGTTGTAAATCTTGTAGTGTAGTGGGATGTGATTTTGTTTGTTTTTGTTTGCTTGTGGTGTTTACTTCTAAAAGAAAAATGTGATTTATAATGGCCTGAGTGTGAGTTTAAGGACTCAGGAGTTTTAATCTTGTGCTGGGCTGACTCATTTTGCTGCTTTGAAATCACTTAACTCCTCTTTCTCAGTTTCTCCAGCTGTAAAATGAAGACATTGTTTCTTATCTTCCTCATGGAGCACAGTGAACTTTAATTATAAAGATTACCTACTCTATGTACTAAATATTTTTGAGGGAGGGAGGTAGTAATAATTAAGTGAATACACACAGTGTCACATTTCAGAGAAACCACCAGCAAGATGAAAGCCTTTTCTGGTATATTTAAAAACCTCTTCTCATGTGAATCCCAGTCTGTGCCCTGTTGTGACTAAAGTTTGGTTGTAACAGTTAACTAATCTGATTATTTTAAATATCTCTTTATGTTGGAGTCCCCTCCGCATTTTGTCCCAGAAGGCTTTTCTCAGGTAGAGAATGCAGCTATGCTCTGTGGCTGTTGAAGGATTTGTCCTTGTAATAAAATTTCACAGTCATATTATATTTGTCAAAACCCTCCATTTCTGGGGTGGTTTCCCATTCATGGTACTTGATTTTAGCATCAAAATGTCTCTTTACACCACCCATGAAGCTTTGAACTCTTAAGATCTTTTTCTGTTTGTTTGTTTGTTTCTTGGTAACATAATATTTGTTCTACCCATTGCTTAAGTCTGGAGATTTGGGAGTTGTCATCTTTTGTTTTATGTGTCTCAATAGCTGATATTTCCTAGTCATCAAGCACATAGTTCTGGCATCTCTGTCCCAATTCAGCAGCATCAGTTTCATTTTAATAATTCCGTGCTGCCCTACAGTTAATTTCTGTGTGTGAAAGGATGCATTTTAAAACCTTGTAAGAGATGTAAGTAGTCCCATTTTTTTTCTTACAGCTTTATACTATCTCCAGACACACTGTTTTCTAAAATTCTTCTGGATAAGGAGCATTTAGCTGGCTGTACCTTCAGTTTTCATAAATTCAATCTCCTTAGTTGGCTATTAAGGGTAGTCGTTGAATAATGTCAGGCGCTGCCTCTCACTTGTCAGATGAGGACTTTGTTTTCTCAGTATTTTAACCTGTGATTTTTTTTTTCTCCCCTTCCCACAGCAGGAGACTGGGACCAAAGGTCAAAAGTATGTCTCTTGCAAAACAGTAGAGAGTACTGCAGTACTACTAGGCTGGCTCTCCTCCAAAATAAATGGGCCAAGGTTTTCACATCTGTGTGCCTAAAATTACACTATTTTTTTCCGTATTTGATATCTTAAATAAGTGGCCTGACTTTCAAGGATACTGAGCACCCAGCTGCTCCCATCCTCCTTATCTTCAAAGTGACAATCTGGGGTGACTGTCATGGGAAGATGTGGTTGAGGACATACCTGGAACAGTCATGTTGGGCTTCAAAGAAGTGTACTCAAAAGGGTTATGTAGAGTGGAGTGCTGGCTCTTCCCTTTCTGTAACCAGTTAACCCCCCCATCCTCCTTTCCTGACAGTTTGAGACTCTACCTGGTTGAAGGGAAGAATTTGTTCAAAGATTTGTTAGGAGAAGGGGTCACATAGAGGTCAGGGAACTGATTTGGCAAAAGGTGTATCTGTTGATCTTAACCAAAAGGTATACTGTTCTGGGGAACTGTGACAAAAATGCTTGCTTACATGCAAGTTTGATGCAACTTATAATTGACTAGTATTATCCTATGGCTTGTTTCCCTTGCCTTTTGTTAATTACAAATTTGATTTTTTTTGTATCCTGTAGTGAAAATTGTCTCTTAGTAAAAAATTAACAAGGAAGAATAAGCACTATTCTTTTGAATAATTAAAACTTTTTAATGGCATGATCACTGGTCTAAGATTTTTTTTATTCACCTAACATTGAACTCTAAATGTCTTTGTTCAGAAGAATTAGACAACGGTCCAAAGGACAAGAGTGTTTATT